AGCTAGAGGGTGCCAGAGTGTTCTCAAAGATTGCCCCCCCCCCCCCCATTGTTAGAGTTTTGAATTTTGAAATCTCGAGCACTGGATCATTTCTTCCTTTGGTCCATTCCCTGAAAAGGAAAATATATACGGGACTCGGAAGTATATATTTAGATGATGACTGCTTAACCCCTTTTTTTTATCAGAAGGGGTGTAACCTAGACCGAGAATAATACAGTTTTCCTCGTGTCTTTCGGGTCTAATATTATCATTTGGCATTTTAGAGAATTTATCCGAGTACTAATTTTTTTTCGCACTGTAGAAAATTATTTGAGTGCTCATACTTAGTCTTTTAGACTTAAAATATATATGTGGATGCATTGTTACTTGTGCGATGTCTAAAGTTGCACCTTTGGGTGTCTAACTCTCAAATAAAAGAGGGCCCTTTTATATATTTTAAATGCTATGAAGAGGACGTCTCCTTTTCATTCAGGCGTATAATAGGATCGATTGATCCGAGTAGAATTTTAGTTTGAGGGAGTATTAATCCCGGTAGGATTTGCAAGAGTATTGACCCCATTAAGATTTACAAGAGTATTGACCCCGATAAGACATTGAGTTTGAGGGAATATTGATCCTAACCTTGATCCCAACCAAATATATATTGTAACGACCCGACCAGTCATTTTGAGCTCTAGCGCGTCGTTCAGCAGTTTGAGGCTATGACCAGCTTCACTTCAGGTATTATGACTTGTACGAATGGTTGGAATTGAATTCCGAGAAGTTCGGGGTTGATTTGGAATGAGAATTCGCATCTCAGAAGCTTTAAATTGGAAGAATTGACAAGGATTGAATTTTTGAGTAAACGACCTCGGAATCGGGATTTGAAGGTTCCAACAGGTTTGTATGATCATTTTGGACTTGGGTGTATGTCCGCATTGGGTTTTGGATCACCCGAGAGCGTTTCGATGCTTATTGTGGAAGTTAGCATTTTGGAAGAATTTCATAAATTTGGGTTGAAGTGCATTTCAATTCTATCGATGTCCGTTTAAGATTTCCGAGTCTGGGAGTAGCTCCGTATGGTACTTCTGGTATTGGGAGTACGTCTGGAAGTGAATTTGGAGGTCCGTAGGTCATTTTGGAGTTATTTGGCTAAAGTTAGAAATTTGAAGGTGTTTGAGAAATTTGACCGAAAGTGGACTTTTGATATCGGGGTCGGAATCCGATTTCGGAAGTTGAAGTGGATCTGTAATGTCAAATATGACTTGTGTGCAAAATTTGAGGTCAATTGGACGAGAGTTGATGGGTTTCGGCATCGAATGTTGAAGTATGGAATTCTAAAGTTTATTATGCTTGGATTGGAGAGCAATTCATGGTTTATGCATTATTTGATGTGATTTGAGGCCTCGAACAGGTCTGTGTTATATTATGGGACTGGTTGGAGTGATTGGACGGGTTCCCAGGGGCTCTGGTGGATTTCGGGTGGTTAACGGATTGAAAATGAAATTTGAGGAAGGGCTGAAGCAGCTGGGCTTCTGGTGTAAATGCACCTACGCGAAGAGTAACGCAAGAGTGAGAAGTGACCCGCAGAAGCGGATTTTTGGTTGGGGAAGGAGTGGACCGCAGATGCGGTCAAGTTTGCAGAAACAAGACCGCACCTGCGTTTTTGGAGCCGCAAATGCGGAGTTGTGAGGCCTGGTGAAAGACCGTGGAAGCGGTTGTAGGGCCGCACCTGCGGAACCGCAGAAGTAGTCAAGTGAATGCAGGTGCGGAAAGGCAGGAGGCAGTGAGGTTCTTTAAAATCGGGGTTTTGGCTCATTTTCACTCTATTTCTTTCATTGGAGCCGATTTTGGAGAAACTTGGGAGTGCTATTTTCACCACCAAGCATGAGGTAAGTGGTTATATTCTAGTTTGAGTTCAATACATC